TCAAAAACTCCAGATCATGACCGACGGAAAATCACGTAGGATTTCTGACTTAATAACAAAACGGCATAACGATAAAGTGCGTAAGTTTACGATTTTTAGGCAGCCTAGGTTAAAGTCAGTCCGTTGAGTTGAAGTGGTTTCCAAAGTGACAACACTTACTGATCAGCACGGCGATAGGAGGAAGGTAATAAACTTATCATCGATTCCTCTCAATCCCGAAAAAACTGTGTTCCTGGAAAAAGGACCCAAATTTCCAAGTTACACAAGTTATTATCAAACCGTTTTGTAATTAAGTCAGTAATCATACGTGATTTCCTGAAAATCTTCAGAAGACAGCATCCTGGCCAAATCACGCCGGAGCTTTGACTTAACCTGATAGCGTTCATTATCATAAGTCTAATTTAGTTTTTAAATAGAAGCCTTATCCGAGTGGTAGGGTCTCACAAGGTAACAGAACTTACGAATGATACCATATCGTTTACAACAGTTTCAAAAAGAGTAAGATAGGCCATGGCAGAAAGAGGAGCGATAGTGTAAGCGCTTTTGGCAGAACGTTTGTCGAGGGAGTGACTTCACTTGTCTCTTTGACCAGTTCGTTGGTTGGTGTGGAGAATGGCAAAACTGACTGATGATGCCGACTACGATGCTGGCGAAACGTTTGAGAAGGTATCAAGTCCACTGTCTGATGCTGGGAATCATGACAACTACAATGACAGACTACATAGTCTCCCTGACAACAAGACAAAGTTGCGACAACAAGGTTAACCCACTTCTACTCATATGATCATGGGAAATCTCTATATCTAGTCGTAAATAAAGGATTTTCATTTATACTATGTGTAATTGTTGTATGATGAAGAGATTTGTTGGCCAATCTCATCAGAAGACGCCGACTTATTTACGTTGTAATGCAGCCATTTGGCGTCAATACGACGTTCAGGTCAGTCCAGTACAGATATTCTCCAACGTTTCGGGCAAAGTTGTTCTAAACTTTGGCTCGTCAAGTGACAACATCGTCAGAGCCGGTGCCAATTCTCACAAAAGGCCTCAAGTTGACACAAAGTCAAGACTAACTGGCTTCTTTATATATGTTATATATATGATAAATATATTATATATATATATATCATATATATATATATATATATTATGTGTTATTGGGTTTTAGTGTATCTCCTATAGTTTTATTCTATCATGATTTTGACTATAACATAGTAAATGAAACTATGCACTCCAATTTATGCCTATCCATGTCTATCTATCTACTTCTAGTTGTTTTTTGGTTTTGGGTAGGAATACAATACAGAGCCGAGTGATGCTTCAGTTTAACTGAAGCCGGATGTCTCGTCGACTAAACCAACTTGAACGTCTCTTTATCCGGCAGTAACCTACGCAATTCCAGTAACCAGAACAATTTCATCTTTCTGTCACCATGCGCCTCGTTTCAAAATTGTCCAGCCCTCATTCCTTTTCTGGAATCTTCATTTTTTTCGACTGCCTCAGTTTGCTAATAATGCTATCAGCGATTCTGTCAGAGCCGTATTGAAGTCGTTAGTATGCCTTTTATTGCAGAATAAAAATTAAAATTTCATCAGAATTCAACGACAACCGATTCCGCTGTACTGCAGCCGTTTGAACATGACCTGAATTTCGGTCTGAAACATCTTCCCTCGATTCCCGGTGAAGCCGAGCTCATCTTTCGGCCGTCGATTCTTCCTGCCAAGCAGATAGGCGAAATAGTGAGGAAGTGGAAGTAAAAGGGATTCTAAAAGAAACCCTGACACTTCTTTGGTAAGGTCTTCTTTTAGAGAGAAATATGACGCATAATTGAGATCTGGCTGTTCGTTGCAATATTGTGTGCTCCTGTAGTTGAACCTATATCATCAACAAACACACAGGATGCTGATTATGGTACGTCTGCTGTTTAAATGAGTATAAGAGAGGCTATTGAAATTGATAGAATAGGGAAGACATTGAATGCGAGGAAGAGATGAATAAAGTTGAGTAAGAACCAGTCATGTTTGAACGAAAGTTTGAAGGATAAGTGTCGTTCAGAAGAAGGAGATACAACTTGTCAACCCATTCATGGTTCTAACAAGTGGATTAAGCTAATTAACCGAACGATACGTACCAGAACACACAATTCCAATCATACTTGTCCTGGTTGGAGTATATTCAAGACAAAAGCATACCCAATTCAGCTTTATCGTCTTGGATACTAAACCAATCTGATAAGGCTTCAGTTTCTATTTCACTCGCGGTCTAATCAACATCCTCGGAACGATTCAGGTTTAGATCATTGAAATTCAGAAGAAAAATAAGGAAATATAACTTTTCGTTACTTAACTCTTTCAATGGTCAATTTTGCCATATTTTTAGAGTTTTTTGCACAAATCTTAACATTTCTGGCTCTTTGTCGCCTAGGAGACACGAATATCTACTCACTAATTGAACGTAAATGCATACTTTCCGTCTATCAGAAAAAAAAAATTGCACGCAATAAGTTGGTCTAAATATTTTTAATTTCATTTACCTCGTTGCATTACTTGTATTGTTTTACAGAGAAACATCCTATTTTGCCTATTTTACGCTCCACCAAATAACCTCCATATAATACTTTATCGGGCCGGCGCTTATATCTTTTTGCCATCGAAGAGTTCATTTTGTTTTCTGTAACCTTCTTGCAACGTTTGATATATTAAACTTTTTGACCGTTGAAATTTGAGTCCTGATTGCCAGAACAAAGGGAAACTAGTAATGAAAAGCTTAGTAATAGAGTGTTTTTCCTAGCAGTTCTTGAATTGCACCGCTTTCTTTAACGCTACTATTTTCATTCAGAGATGAAGAGATGATAAGCAGATGGCATACCGTCGCTTCTTTCTTGCTGCCCTTTCACCACGTACTTTTTCGACCCTTGTACGGTCATTTCTCCTCTTTTCCCATTCCTCGTAAGTAGTTAACAATCTGAAGACAATGGTCATTTTCAATCCATATTTTCATCTCTCTCACACAATCACACACATACACACACACAAACACACACACACACACACACACAAGTTCTAGAATTAGGCTTTTTCAAGAAACCCTTGCCCTGTATGTCGTTCCATCTGCCCTAAAAATCGCAGGCGTTGCGAATTCAACTTTTAGGAGGCCGATTTGTTAAAATCCTAAGTTCTGGCCAGAATAACATTAGTATGTATCCTTAATCATACCCATTCATTGCATAGTAAAGCACCAATTTCCCCTCGAGCCAGAACCACTCTGGCCATAGTTGCAACGATAGACTGCTGCATCACAGCTCTTGACTTCACCGATCCAACCTTTCAGGTCACAATGTGGACCTCGTACAGCCACCGTGACGAGGTATGCATCAGGTACCACGCCGGTTTGATCAGGTTGTAAAAAATTAGTCTTGTTGCACAGTTGATCTCGATGAACGTCATGTTAGTCGAGATAATTTTTAGTCGCCATCCATGCACATTTTGAAGCTTGGCGATGTTGACTAAGCTGCCGACAAATGGCATGGTAATGCACCAATTGCACAGGTTGATGCTGT